CTGGGCGCCGAGGAGCGCTGCCCGAGCGCGCTGTCCCGCGGTCCGCTAGACGAGGACGGCACGGACGACGCGCTGCCGCCGCCGCTGGGCCCTCCGCCGCCGCCCGCCCGCAAGGGCTCCTACGTGTCGGCCTTCCGACCGGTGGTCAAGGACACCGAGAGCATCGCCAAACTGTACGGCAGCGCCCGCGACGCGTACGGGGCGGGGCCGGCGCGCGGGCCGGGGCCGGGAGCGGGCAGCGGCTACGCGAGCCCGGACTTTCTGAGCGAGGGCAGCTCCAGCTACCACTCGGCCTCACCCGACGTGGACACCGCCGACGAGCCCGAGGTGGACGTGGAGTCCAACCGCTTCCCCGACGAGGAGGGCGCCCAGGACGAGGCTGAGCCCGGTGCGCCCGGCGCGGGGGGCGGCCCTGACGGCGACCCAGCCACGGGTCCCCCGTCTGCCACCTCCTCGGGCGCCGACCGCTCCACAGACTCTCCCGAAGGCGGCAGCCCCCGTCCCCGGCGCCGCTCGGGGCCACCCCTCTCCAGCCGGTCAGCTTTCGGGGACCCCACGGCAGAAGACATGGTGCGGAGACCCGAGAGGAGCCCTCCCAGCAGCAGCTACGAGCTACGAGAGCCATGCGTGCCGCTGGGGGGGCCCGCACCCACCAAGGTGAGCCCCACGCCCACGGAGAAGCCTCCCGCTACCCCTCCGCCCGGGGGCGCGGCCCAGGCCTGGAGGGTGGGGTTTGGTTCTACGCGGGCCCCGCCTGTCCTCTGCAGGCCTGCCCCGAGCACACTGTGGCCAAAGCCCCTCGGGGACCCTGGGGTTTCGGATAACCGGGGGCAGGGGTGGGCAGGGTCCGGCCTGAGAGTCACGCGGTTTTATTGGTGGAACTGAGGGGAGACAGACTGAGCCCGCCAGACACAGAAAGAAAAAGAGATAAAAGAATGAGGGGGGCAAGAAAGGAACCCCAGATTGAGGAAAAAGCGCAGTGAGATCTGTGAGGCGCGGCCAGATGGGGGCAGCCCAAGGGAGTGGGCGTGAGAAGGGGAGAGCGAACGGCAGGTCCTCAAACCGGCCCTGGCAGTGGGGTCCCCAGCACGCGGCTCTCCCCCCAGTGTCATCTGCCTCCCGCCTGGGTAGCCACTGGGCTCCGTGGAAAGCTGAGGAGAGCCCTGTGAGGAGCTGGCGCAGGCCTGGTGGTTGGAGGACGGGGTATCTGGGGCGACTGGACCAGGTCTTGAAGGAGGCGAGTTGCAGCTCTGCCTGGACCACTGACCATCTAGAAAGTGGGCGTGCGCACCTGTCTATTTCCATTCGGTTCATTAAAACACGAATCATTAACTGCGTGAAAGGCGTCGTTTATGCCGGGAACCGAAAACATCCGGCCTGGATGAGCTCAGAGGGTGTGCGCCTTAGACTGGCTCTAGACTGGGGAGCCGCTTTGTGTTGGGGGCGCTAACGGTTACCCCGGATCTACAACACTGAGGCCGCCGCTAAGGGCATGAGGGCGGCGGCGCATGTGTCAGGGCCTCCCAGGCGCTCCGGTCCCTGGACGCGCCCCCCTTCTCCACCCCCTGGTGTCCCTCCCGCCGTAGCGCGAGGCTGGAAGGCCTCTGGCCACCGCCAAGCGCCCCCCCCCCAACTGCCTGTCATTTCTCGACGCGTCATGCCTGGCATTTCTGCCGCAGGTGTACGCGCCCGAGCGGGACCAGCACGTGAAGAGCGCGGCGGCGGCGCTGGGGCCCGCGGCCTCCTACCTCTGCACCCCCGAGGCCCACGGTAACGCCCCCAAGCCCCTGTCCCGGCCGCTGGCCAGTGTGCGAGGGAACTGCTGGCAGAGGGCAGGAGCCAGAGGAGACCTAGGAGGGAAGAGGAAGAGAGGAAGGAGGATGCAGAGAAAAAGAAAAGCAAGAATAATAAAAGGGAAGCTAAGCAAGAACTTCTAACAACTTCGATTGTTTATAAAAAATATGTCCATGTTACGCCTTCTCTTCATACATGCACACGTACACTGGGTTAAAGCCTTTTCCAAAACATGCCGGGGAGCCCCCCTCAAGTCCTCCCAATTAGCAAGGGGTTTGGGCTGCAGAGAGCTGGGTGGTCAGGCCAGGTCCTGGAGGAGGGGTGAGTGCGCTCTTGGATCGGACCTCCAGAAGCGCCAGTTGTAGCTGGCGGCCCAGTGATAGGGGGGCGGGGGAGAAGGGAGGCCTGCAAGTGCCCTCGGGATCCAGAGGCCTCACAGGAAGGTCTGGGGGTCTTGGGACTCCCCACGGGCAGAGGCACCCCCTCTCGGACGACGCCCCCTCCCCCGCTGTCCTCAGGCAGAGCCAGCGGCCACGCGCACTCGCGGTGCCCCAGTATCTGCGCTCGATGTAGGTCGCTTGTCCCTAGTGGGCTTGGCTTCTTGCTCTTTCGCGAGGGGCTGGGGGAGGGGGCGACGAACCCTGAATTGAGCAGATTGCACGGGGTGGGGGTGGGGGTGCTGCCAGCCTAGAGCCTGAGGGTGCCCGCCTGGGCGCACAGCCTGGGACCAGCCATGGCCATAGCGCGTTTTAATTAGGGCTCTGGCGTGGGGATCACGGCAGCTCTGGCCATATTGGGGTCACAGTTTATGCGCCTCTCTTTGAAACTCGGTTTATATTGCCTTTAAGAGCCGGATAAGGAAGACAATCACTCGACAGCCGCCGACGATTTGGAGACGAGGAAATCCTATCCAGACCAAAGGAGTATCTCTCAGCCAAGCCCCACGACTACGGAGCGAGGTGAGCTGGGACACGCACCCCACGCCTGCTCCGGAGCAGGGCCGCAGCGCAGGGTCGCAAGTGAGTGCGCACAGGGCTTCCCAGCAAGACTAAGCGGTTGCCTGTCCCTTCTGCGTGAGACAGATACATACTTCCATGATGCAGTGAGAGGCAGCCCGGTTTTCCTGAATTGCTCTCTCTTTACTGGGTTTGGGGTTCTTCTGGATAAGGGAAGTAGAGATGTTAAAAGGAAATGAGGTATATCTTCACCTCCGCAAAACAGGTCAAAGGGCACTTGCTGCCCAGACAGCCCAGATCCTTAGCTTTCATGACAACTAGTGACAGGTCACTGTCCTACATCCATAAAAGGACGGCTCCCCAGGTGGGTGGTGCTGCCTCCTCTGCAAAGCCAGATCTGGAGTGAGTCCCTAAGTTAGCACAGTGCCCAGGAAGCTCACCCCTGGTCCGCAGAACTTTCCTTGGTGAAGGTCTTACCCAGCCCTATTGTATCCCAGGGGAAGAAGGGCTCGCCCTGGATGTCACGGGAACTCAGCTGGTGGAGAAGGACATTGAGAACCTGGCCAGAGGTGAGGTAAAGCTGGGAAGGCATAGCCTGTCCCTGAAGTCAGGAGGTCGGCCCTTCCTGGCAGGGAGAGGGTGGGAAAGGTCCACTCTTGGGGAATCCTTGTGTGGAAAGGATAGTGCCCTGGTCACATTCGCCTGGTGCAGAGGTGTGAATGAGTGGCTAGGTGACGGGAGTGACGAGCCAACCCTGCACAGGTTGATCGAAAGTTCGAGTTTCAACCTACTTTAATAGATAGCCCTGTGAGAAAAAAAATAAAAAGTTGCAAAGATTCTCAGGATTGATGTATGTGGGCAACCACACAGGACAATCTGAGCTCCAAATTCCTTGGAAAACCTGGCTTTCTCATGACAGCAAGATTGCAGGAGGCATTTACTTAAGTGAAAACTAAGATATTAATTTTTTGCTTGGAATTCATGTGCAATCTTCCCACTCACTCTACATAGGGTGAGGAGAGAAGCTTGCTTGCAGCTTGGGATCAAGGGGTTGGGGCTCTTCCCAAAATGGAGACAGAGTGGTTTGAGGCACAGTGCAAGGGAGGCTGGGTTCTCCCCTTGCCCGGTGACCTCCCACCCCTCTATTTTCTCCCTTCATGGGAGGGTTCAGATATCCAATGATGATCTCATTGTAAAGACAGCTCCCTTCTAAGCCCCTTAAAGAGGATTTCTGGGAGCACAAATGGGGCCTTTTCATCCAGCTGCCATCCCCAACCCCAGTCCAGAGACAGAGTTGGGAATTAATGGGGGATAAGAGAAGCATTAGGGAGCCCTGGTGGCCTAGTGGTAAGGACTTTCACTGCCAACCTGAAGGCCCAGGGTTCAAATCCCAGCTACTCTCTGCAGGAGAAAGGTGGGCAATCAACTCCTTAGCAGTTCAACTTTTTGTTGTGTGTGCCTTCAAGTCAGAACCAACCCATAGCTGACCCTCTAGCAGGTTTTCAGAGACAGTTAATCCACAGGAGGAGATTGCTCATACTACAGAGCAGCTGGTGGATTTGAACTGTGTGAATCTGAAGGCAGAGGGTTCAAATCCCAGCCACTCTGTGATCTCCTTTGTGATCTGATTACTCCTCTGAAACCCTGCTGGAGGATCAGCTATGAGTTCATTCTGACTTGACAATACATAACAACAGATGATACAGGATAGGACAAGATTCAGATCTGTTGTTCATAGGACCTTCACAGGTCCTGCTCCACTCAAGGGCACCTACCAAGAGGATCATTGGTTGGTGATCTTTTCTCTCCTGGAATATCATCTGCCCATCTGCATCTCCAAATGTACTGGTACTCTGTATGGAGGTTCTTAGCATGAATTGGGAAATCCAAAGACCTCCTGAGATTGTAGGCAAGTGCTTGTGAACATGAGTATTTTCCAGGGAAAGCTTCCACAGCTTTGAGCAGATCCTCAAAGTCATCGGGCTCTTGTACCTTCATGTTACTGAAGGAAAAAAGGATTAGATCCTTCTGGGCTAGCCTCTAAGATTAGGAAATTAAGAGGAACTTCAAGCAGAGCTACCCTGGGGAAGAAACAGGGCCTGGAGTTAGGGCTCAGAAGGTCTGTGTGTTACCCAGGATCCTGGATCTGATGATTCTCCTGAGTAACCAACCTACCCCCAGCTTTACAGCCTTCACAAATCCCTTGGATGCAAATAACAGAGCCAAAGTGCAGAGGTCCTACGATTTGGGTCTCTCATCTTCGCTGGCTTTTTGCTCAGGCTGGGCCTGAAAGCCTCTGGAAGCCCTGGGCCCCACCTCTCCTTCCCCTTAACTTCCCTTCCCCCTTTTGCCCCTTCACAGACGAATTGCAGAAACTACTTCTGGAGCAAATGGAGCTCCGCAAGAAACTGGAGCGGGAATTTCAGAGTCTCAAAGGTACCCCAGCCAAGTCCCTCTCCACCTCCATCTCACCCCGCGAACCTTCCTCCCGCCCCGGTCCGCGAACGCAGGCAGCCGCTGTGGTACTCCCCCCTCCCCCCAGCCTCGGGACCCTCCTTTCCCAGGGTTTCCGGGGAGGTCATAGGGGAGGAGGAGGAGGGGGGAAGAGGGGAGAAATGGGGCCCGGGGAGGGGGCCTTGCGTAACCGCTCTCAATCAATTTGCACAGATAATTTTCAGGATCAAATGAAGAGGGAATTGGCTTATCGAGAAGAAATGGTGCAACAGCTGCAAATTGTCAGAGGTAAGACGGGAGTCAGGTGAGCGCGTGCACGGGCCGTAACTGCCTTTCGTCTGCCAGGAGCCGCAATGTTGGCTCAGTCATTTGGATTTAAATTGAAGGTAATTTAACAATTATTTTTTTTATTTAATATCCTTTGTATACTCTGATTAGCCTCCGAATGGCAAGCGAGCCCAGCAAACGGCTTGCAGGCATCATTACGTGGAGTGATTGAACTTCTTATCGCTGCAATTTCCATGGCTTCTAAATTAAAAATCGAGGCGTAAAATTACCTGGGAAGTAATGCCTAAGTTTTCTTTAATTTTGGTGAGATCCGCCTGCCTCTAAGCGCCATCTCAGGCCCTTTCCTCCCTCCCAGGCTGCAGTTTGGAGCGCCGCCGGCTCCCCGCCCCCGCCGCGCGCCCCTCCCCCGCGCTGCTTTGCTCGTGGCTGCGGCCGGGGCGCGGGTGGGGGCTGGGCTGTGACCCTGGGCCCGCGGCCGCAGTGTGTCCTCACTGGCCCTTCCGCATGTCTTCCAGACACCCTGTGCAACGAACTCGACCAGGAGCGCAAGGCGCGCTACGCCATCCAGCAGAAATTAAAAGGTGCGGAGTCCAGGGGCGAAGTTTGGAGGGGTGAGGGCGGCGGTGGTTCAAGAAGAAGGAAGAGCGGCCTGGAGACGGGGAAGACCTGGGTCTACAAGGATTGAAAGAGGAAGTGGTTAAGAGGGAGGGGATTTTAACAGGGAAATAGTTTTAGAAGTTAGGATAGAAAGTCCCCTGAGTACAGCTCACAGTGAGCCGGTGAGCAGCAGGCCTAAACCCTTTCCTCTCCTCTGCCAACCTCACCATCTCTGACACATGTGAGCCCATTGTTGCGGTCACTGTGTCAATCCATATGGTTAAGGGTCCTCCTCTCTTAAGCTGTAGGCAGTGTGCTTTTTGATCCCACTTCTGGCCTTGGGGAGGTCTGTCCCCCTCTGCCTCAGTTTCCTCTTCTGTAAAATGGGGCAACTGGGAAAGCGCAGTGTTTCTGTGCAAGGAGAGGATCAGACTCACCAAGGGCTCTCTTCTTCCCTGCCGATTCCTTTTGATGAGCCCGAAGGGAGTGGGCAAGGAGGCCCGTGGGCAGGGAAGGAGTGGGTGGACATTCCCGGCAGAGGCTGGCATTGCGCCCAACGTGGTGGGTGCGGCTGTCTTCCCAGAAGCCCACGACGCCCTGCACCACTTCTCCTGCAAGATGCTGACGCCCCGCCACTGCACCGGCAACTGCTCCTTCAAGCCCCCGCTGTTGCCCTAAAGGCCCACCTGGCCTCGCCCAAGCGCCCTCAAGCCATGCTGCTCCCTTCTTGTAAATACCCGCGGGCCGCGGAGGCCCAGAGCGAGGAACAAGCCATTCGGACAGGACCAGTGTAGCTACGGCCTCCCGCCCGCCTGCCCCTTCCCGGGGGCTTTGCCCAGGGCTCCCCCGGCTCCGTTTCCAAGTGTAAATAGCTCCTCACCCCAAGGTTGAACTCCAGGACACCGGACCTCAAGGGTTAACTACACTGAAGGGGGAGGAATGAGGAGGTCTTCCTCCTCGCTGTACAGCCTTTGGACCCCAGATTGTGAATACGATGTAGTGACTTTGCTGGCGCCAGCCCTACGCGCCCCGTTCTGTCCACTTCTGAAACTCTCGTTCCTAATGATAAAGTGGCTATGTGCAATGGATACAAATGTATTGTGAGTCTCTTGGTTCGGTATTGGGTTCGTTCTCGTTTATTTATGCTGTTAAGTTATTTTGCTTCCCCTCCTGGACCTCCTTCCAGCCTGTTTTACATTCCCCTTTGGGTTTGCTCTATCTTTTGTTGTGACTTCTTGATGTAACAGCACTTTAAAAGGGCGACTACTGACTCACGAGATGGCGACCACCTTGAGCCTGTTTTGGGGAGACCATCCTGTACCCTGTGATTTTGTTTTTAATTAAAAAACCAAAACCCACAAAATCCAAAGCTGTCATTCCGTGGTATGTGGAGGTGGGTGTGCGGGTGTGGGTGGGTGGGTGGGTGTAGCAGGCAGAAGCCCGCTGAGGATTGCGCAACAGGTGGGGGTGGCCTTCAGGGGAGGGCCTTATGAGCCCTGGGTGAGGCGCAGGCCTGGGCGCCGAGTTAAGCTGCTGGGTCTGTTAGTGCCACCAAAAGTAACTCAGGCCCAGCCCATGAGTCCGGCCTGGCATCTGCCCCTCCGCCTACCACCCTAGCGATAGCCGGTTGTCCTCCCTGCGGGGTGGGGATTGGAATCTTGCGCTTGCTCAGGTGAGCGCAGGAGCCCTAGATCCGTTCCCCCAGCTCCTGTAGAACACTCCCACAGGCTAGCTCCTCCCCTCTTCAGAGTAAGACCCTCCCTCAAAGCTTTTCCATGGGGCTTGTCCCCTCATTCCTCTTAAGTGGAGTGGCTCCAGGGCCAAGGGTTCACTTGGGCACCTTCACGTGTCTCCCGCGGGAAATCAGCTCCAAAGTTTTGGGACACCGGGCGCTCCCTTCTGATAGTGCGGAGACCCGGGTTCAAGTCTAAGTTGTCCCTCAAGGAAGCGCGTGCACCACAAACTCAGGGTGCGAAGTGGCCCCTCAGGCCGGGACCGAGGGGGCCAGCCCCACACGGGTGCCCGGAGAGAGGGAGCCCTGAAGGATTTAATGTTCTGTCCACTTTAATCCCAGCGGATTCACTCCCAGATGTGAAGGGGTGCCAGGGGGGACTCGAAACTCTTGGGATGCAGGGGCCAGGCAGCCGCGCGTGGCCCGGCTCATGTTGAGCGGCCGGCGCCCAGGCTGCAAGGATGCGGCCTCATCTTACCTCCATCAAGCCTCCGTTTTCTCAGCGGGCCACAGCAGAGATGAGGGAACAGGAAAGGGACGCGCACCATACTGCGAACCTACCTTGGAATTTAGCAGCCCTGACTTGGCAGGGGTGTGGCGCCCTTTAATCTTTCCAGGTCTCGGTTTAGGCCTCTGTTGCGGATGCGCGGTGCGCAGAGTCCCAGACCACGAGCCCCTGAGGACTGGCCTAGCGCATATCCCGGGGTGTCCTTGTGCGTCCCCGCGAACGAAAGCAGGCGCTGCGGGAGGAGACTGGAGGAGGGCAATGGGGAGCCAGGCCCTCAGCCTCGCGGGGCTGACAATTTCGTGTTTCTTAGGGGTCCAGGGTCCACAGGCCGGTGGACTCCGGGGGCGCACGGGGTAGCTGGGCCTCACAGTCGGGGAAGCCAGTTCCAGGGCCATCCTGTGCTGGGACTCCGAGCCCTCAACCCTGGGACATTCGGGGTCGGGGGTCGGGGTTGACCCAGAGAGACACAAGGGACAGGATGTGGGTGCGGGCGCAGCTCACACTGTGAGGGGTGTGCCCTCCCGCGAGGGCCTTTCTAAGGAACAAGCGCATTTCAACTCAGTGGTACTAACTCGACAACTCCCCACTGTACCTACGCGGAAAGTGGGGTCCTCAAGGAAGACACTTAACCTTCAGGTCGTGCCAAGGGCCCGCAGCGCGGGGACACCGCAGCGCGGAGACACGGCACGCGCCTTTCCCCGCGGCGTAACATCTCTTTGGGGAGCCTCACTTTCCTGCTCTGCAGAATGGGAGTAAGTTACCATCCAGGCAAAAAGTTCTCGAAGAGGAACCTAGCAAATGTTCCTTTCCATCCTCGTTTTACGAACGCCTCCAAACAAGTGGAGGAAAACACAGGTGGTAGCCAGTAGGGGCCAGCGCGAAGGTGGGTCTCATTTGGGCCCGGATCTCTGCGGACTGGGGACTGGTGGGCGGATACGACCCGGAAAGCAAAACCCCTCCAGTGCTCAAGCGTCCCTTCAGAAGTGGTTTGTTCTCCCCCAAATCTTAATAACCAAACGATTGGTAGGGATGTAATTATCAATAATTATACGAATTATTGCTGATTGCGGGGCTCATAGCTACTTTAATTAGTTTACCAGATTCTAATTAAGTTAAATGAAACATTAATAGGGAAAATATGCTTTGGGAAAAAAACCCAACCACCTAGGAGTTTGAAAAAGTTTCTTTCTCGCCGCAACGTTGCCACCTTGCGTTCAATTTTAGACATTGCATCCAGCGTCTGGAGGCCCTGACGTTCAGGGAGAAGTGGGACAGGGGCATTGTTGTTGTTGTTGTTATGTGCCGTCGAGTCGCTTGCGACTCATAGCGACCCTATGTACAACAGCCCTAAACTCTGCTCTGTCCTGTGCCAATCGCACTGTCTCTGACACTCCCATCGTGATTATCCCAGTCACTGAATCAATCCACCTCATAGAGGGCCTTCCTCTCCTGCGCCATCCCTCCACCCTCCCAAGCATGATGTCCCTCTCTAAGGACCGGTCTCTCCTCACAACATGTCCAAAGTAAGTTAGACGGAGCCTCAGAATCCTTGGCCTCCAAGGAGCCACCCGGTTTAACCTTCTCCAGGACAAATCTGTTTGTTTTCCTAGCAGTCCATGGTATTCTCAATACTCTTCTCCAGCACCACAGCTCAAAGGCATCAATTCTCCTTCTATCCTCCTTGGTCAATGTCCAACTCTCTGATGCATAACAGGTAATTGCGAAGACCATGGCCTGTATCAGACGCACCTTAGTCTCCAGAGAGACACCGCTGCTCTTCAGCACTTTGGAGAGGTCCCTAACAGCAGACTTTGCCATGGCAATGCACCTTTTAATTTCCTGGCTGCTGGTGCCAAGACTGTTGACTATGGAGCCAAGCAAACTAAAGCTGTGTACAATCTCAATCTCTTCACCATCCATCCTGATGCTGCCAATTGGTCCAGTGGTGAGAATCTTTATCTTCTTGACATTGAGCCTCAAACCATATTGTAGGCTGCAGTCCTTGACACCCTGCAGCAGGCGCTTCAGGTCCTCCTCAGTTTCAGCAAGCAGGGTTGTGTCATCTGCATAACGCAGATTGTTGATAATTCGTCCACCAATCTTGACCCCACATTTCTCCTCATAGAGCCCAGCCTCCCGGATAATCTGTTCTGCATATAGGTTGAAAAGGTATGGAGATAGGATGCATCCCTGGCGTACGCCCTTCCCAATTTTGAACCATGCAGTGTTCCCTTGCTCTGTTCTGACGACTGCCTCCTGGTCCAAGTATTAGGACACTAAATACCCTCCAGACTGTTCTTTCTAGGTGCTTGTTGGGTGCCCATGATGCTGCCGATGCAGAGCGCAGCCGATGTGGTGGGCTAGGGAACTAAGGAAATAAGCTGCTTGGACTGGACTGTTTTTGCAGTAGATTAGCCTTCTAGCGTCATTTGCATGAGGAAAGGTTGTAGATTAGTCTTCCTCCCATTCTGAAGTCACATTCTTAGTCTGGCTTCTCCAATGATTTTCTCAACATACAGACTGAATAGGTATGGAGAATATATATAGCCCTGATGCACACTTTTCAGATTTTAAACCATGCATTGTTCCTGTATTCTATTTCGACAACCATTTCTTGGTCTAGGTATAGGTTTAGAATGAGCATAATTAAGTGTTTTGGGATTCCCATTCTTTAAGATGTCATCCATAATTTATGATCCACAGAGTCAAATGCTTTTGCATAGTTAATTAAGCACACATATAATATTCTTCTGTTATTCTCTGCTTTCAGCTAGGATCCATCTGCCATGATATCCCTAATGTCACATACTCTTTAAAAACTAGCTTGAACTTCATACAGGTTTCTGTGAAAAGAACAAACAGATATGTCTTGAAAAAGGTATAGCCAGAGTGCACCTTGGAGGCAAAATGGCAAAACTTTGTCTCACATGCTTTGGGATGTTGCTAGGAGAGGCTGTTCCTTGGAAAGGGACAGCATGATTGAAAAGGTGGAGATCCTGCAAAAGAGAGGAGGCCTTTCAATAAGATGGATTGACAGAGAGATTGTAACAATGGGCTCCAGTGTGTCAGAGATGATGAGGAAGACACAGGCTAGAACAGAGGTTCAGATCTGTGTACACAGGATCACTTTCAGTCTTTCTCGAGTAGCTGTCACCTAGCAACAACCACCACACTCTGTGTTGCAGGTGGAGCACAAAAAATGGCCTAGTCTTTCTCTCCTCACTGTTGTTGTTGTTGTTGTTGTTATGTGCCATTGAGTCGCTTGCGACTCATAGCGACCCTATGTACAACAGCCCTAAACTCTGCTCTGTCCTGTGCCAATCGCACTGTCTCTGACACTCCCATCGTG